TTTTTTTTTTTTTAAAAAGAGTCCTGTCTTTCTCATTCAACGTGGGAAGAATCTCATCGTGGGGCAGATGTACAAAACTATCCTTAAACCCACTTGGTGGGCACAGGTGGCAGAACCTTTTTATGAGAATGCTGTGGAGGCACAGTGAAAAACGATGCCATCCCTTTGACAGAACAGTAGCTGGCTGCAAGGCTGTGGGCCCAGGAATGTTTTTATCTTGGTTGTTCTCTAATGATGAAATATGATACAAAGTACCCATCTGTGTTAGTCTGGGTAGAGCAGGGAAACAGGTTCATAGCTATGTGTATAAGAATGAGCTTTATGTACAAGAGCAACTGAATACTGCTGTTTCTCCAATGGAGCCCCTGGTAGATTGGAATCACTGAGCTTTTAGCTGGCCTCCCAACCCTGCCCCACTTTGCCTCTAGGAGGCGGCTTCCTTTTTGGAATGCTACCAGCAGTTATAAAGAATATGAAGGTCTTTATGTACTAAGGTAGAAGAAATAGCCACATGTGTGGTTAACTAGAACCCTAGAAAAACCCAGTTTTAGAGAGCCACCTTGGGCACACACAGCATTTTGTATACATGTGTTTATTTGTTTGCATGTCCGTCTGAAGGTGGGAAAAGTAGGTCTACCTGGAAATGTGCTGGGTGGTTACAGATGTCACTTCCGAGGAAAGCTTTGGAGCTATTTTTACTCAGTATAGATCTGTATTTTGAGTCTTTTACAGTGATTGATAACTTTGAAGTTGACTGTTATTTTTCAAAAAGCATGTCCATATTTGTTGGCTGAGGGTGGCGACGTGGGACTGTGGCTGTGGGGGAAAGCGACTTGTTGGAAATGTTTCTCTTTCTTTAAAAAGAGTACAGCAACTATGACAAAACAGCGGTTGTTGATTCTCACTATTTTGTGTGTATATTTTCCAGTTTTTCCAAAAGCAAATAAAATGTGAACTCTTCAGAGTTCTATTCAGAACTGTATTTGACTTAAAATAAATGCTACCTTTAATTTGAAGGATTTACTAGACAGATGTTCCATGATCCCAGTTTCATCTTTGTGACAGTTTTGCTTTTAAGATTTATGCACTTAGCAACATGGTGAGTTTAAGATTTTCTTTCACTTGATTCATTCTAGAAGAGAATTAATGCAACGTCACTGTGAACCAGACTTACTTCCCAGTTACAATGGTTACAATCTGTGGATTCTCTTAATGTGTGCTGGGCACCATGCTAGATATATCGCATCCCTTACAGCTTACAGCACACCTCTGTGGTGGGTCTTTCCATATTTGACACGTGTGGAAACAGACTGAGTGAGGTGAGCGCGTGACCACCAGTGTTGCAAATCTCCAGAGGCAGGATTGCACCCAGATCTCTGGCGCCAGTGCCTGCATCCCTGTAGTGTACAGGGCTGGCCTTTCTCTTCATAGAGAAATGCAACCCTTGTTGCATTTGCTTTGTTCTAAAGAGCGTTTATGACGTTTTACAGAATGTAATTATCGTAGCATTTTTCTGTGTTTTCATTCACAGAAGACAAATGAAACAGATCAGAAATAGGGTTATATAATGTGTGTTGGTTTGTAATCTGTACATTGATTTTTCTAGGCCTGGTTGCAGTATGCCGGAAATTTGGGATGTGGAAGATCCTGCCAATGCTGGGAAAACCCCCTTATGTAACCTCTTGGTGGAGGAGTCGAAGCCTCACTTCACCACTGTATTCCAGAACAGTGTTTACAAAGTCTTGGAAGTTATAAAAGAATGACTACTACCTGAACTGCTGCCTACACAGAACTCCATCAGTAATGGTTTTAACCTTCTGCTAATAAGTCATACGTTGTTTTTAATTCAATTCTCAAAAAACAAAAACAAAAAACTTTTATAAGACAACTGTTTTCAAATAGAAAACGTTTTATTTGGTGAACTGGAATACCATTCTGATTGTTAAAAGTACTTAAACCTTTATCAATTGGTTTTTATTTCAATGCATCCCTTAAAATTTGCTATGCAAATGAGTATGTGCTTGTACAACTTAAATATGTGTGCTTAAGTGAGCAAACCTAGCCATGTGAGAGAAATTTGTCAAGGATGGTATGAGAATACAGTCCATTCTGAACTACATGGGTTCTGTTTTACACTTTGTGGACTGTTGACACCCTTCTCTGCTGCTGCCGCCGCCTCTCGCTGTTGTCTTCTGGAAGATTCAGTGATTACTGTAAACTTGTCAGTCATGTCCGCCGGTCGTCAGCGTGCACAGTAGATGGGGCACAGCCGTTGGTGTGGTCTCTGGAATTACTTGTTTGTTTTCCATCTTGATTTTCTTTCTGTTCTCTCTTGCCCTTGTTTTGGAAGCATTTTCTTCCCATTGCTAAATCCAAATGTTCAGTTTTGCGATTTGGACCAATTCCTCTGACTAGTAGCTGGGCCGAGTTTGTGTGTCTTCTCTCACACTGCAGTCTTCCTCAAATAAGTGCTAGTCACTCATTTAGTTCATTAGCAAGGACTGGTTTCTGGTTAAACATTTTTTTTTTAATGTAAGCTGTTCTTTCTCATTTTTAGCATTATTTGAATTTTAACACTTTGAAATCATTTTTAAAATTTTAATTATAATTTTCAGAAAACCAATTTTGGACATCTGCAAATATAACACATTAAGAAACTGAGTGTGTGTTTGATAGCGCTATAATTTACAATGTAGGACGTGGTCATTTTTCTTTTGCTATTAAGATACAATTTAAAAAGACTAATTTTTCTGTCAAACTAAAAGTAAGTAAATAATGATAAATTAAGTTTTTACATCTTTTAAATAAATATCTCATCTTTAATGAGACAAAAACCAAATACCTTTGATTGAGAACTATTTGAGCACAAGGAATGTGTATGTTTGGGCTTCCTCTTTACTTTGAAAAAAAGAAGTAAAAAATAGCTTTGAGTTCCTTATATGAATTTTTATTTCTTTGAAGCTTATTTGTCTGAAATGAGATTGTTCAAAATAGTTAAAACCTGATAGTGCTGAGAGGTGGTTTTAAGATTTTCAGTTCTAACCTAACCACATCTATGGCTGACTGCACATTTAATTACATAGTGTTCTCTTTATTAACCACAGGCAGATTAACCTCATTGTGGCTTGTCCTTGAGCCCTGGGTCCTCAGGACTGGTTTCCGGTACCCGATCCTAGGAGTCTCTGAAGATCTGCAGTACTACCGGAGTCGTAGGATGAGCCTGCGTGGGGGATGCATTAGCTTGCTGACATTAGGAAGCTGCAGCTGCAGCGGCAGCAAGTCCATCTGAGGGGTATGCCCCGTATGAAAGCATTCCTGTGGGCAGAGCCAGGTCTCTTTCCCTGGACTCGGTCAGGAGATACTGCCTTTGCTCTCCAGACCCTGTCACCCTTCCTCTTTTGCTGGTCCACTGTTGGATTAGCTCTTGCCAGTGTTTATAGGAAGCAGCTAGGGGGTTGTGGATTAGGAGAACAGTTTTTGAGCAGCTCTCTGTTATTGTTAGGTTCCAAAACCCTACCCAGTTCTGCACCAGCCTGGGTTGGAGCCCTTTGCTGCAGTCGTGTGTCCGCCCATCTCGTGGACGGTCTTCCTGGTTTGGCTGACCTTCAACTTTACCAAGCACGAAGGCTTTTTCCAGGGACTGCTCTCTCCTGTCCGAAATAAGGGAGAAGCATGCTGGCTCTACTTCTTCCAAAGCAACAGGTTAGCAACCCGTTGGCAAGAGGGCCTTGAGGCTGAGGAGGACTGGCCACCGTGCTCCTGCAGAGCTGGAGCCTTTTTATCAGGAACTGTTTCGCGTTCAGTGTGGGTTGATTGAGTCCACCCAGCACTTAGGGTTTTCCTGTTTTAATCATATTTTTAAAGTTATTCTCCATTCTTCCTACCTTCAAATAGTCTCCTTCATAAGTTCACATGTGAATCAGAGGAAAATCCATACGGGGCAGCAACCTTAAGTTACTGTTATAACTTAAGGTAGGTTTTGTTTTTTGGTGGTTTTTTTTGAGGAGTTTCTTCTGTAAGACTGTTAATGCAACTCCACCAGCAAGCTCTGATGATATTTTAGGAAGTTCTGTTCAGAACCAAGGTACCTGTGGGTAAACTGGACCTGATCCGGTGGCAGCTGGTGCTGTGGACTATAAATACCTTTTATGGCAACGGGGGATCATGTTAGGCTTTGTAGACATGACAAACCAGTATTGAGCCTCAGTATTTTATGTAATTTTAGCATTTAAGAATACTTTTGCTTTGTTGTGAAGAAAGTTAGGATGGGTAAGGAGGTGATAGAAATAGCTTATTGCTCTGACATTTAGGAAAGAAACTCGGGCCAGAATTTCTATAAAAGTTTAGCCTCTAAACAGGCCAGCGGAGAAATGGTCGTGTGAAAGCAGGCCAGTGACAGGAAAGCGAGGACGAAAGGATGTCTTGGGGACGAGTGGCACTGCATAGGAGGATTGTATTTTTATGGATTTTATGCCAGTTGTTTACATGTTAAATAAATAAATATGTTAAATAAAAAAAGATCATGGAAATATATGGAAAATGTTTTTGTTTAAAATTTCTTGTTACCCTTTATCCCCGTTTTGACTATGTGCACGCACACATGTTCACATCATCTTGTGTTCAACAGCATGAATGGTTTATGGCTGATTGCCATCCTGAAGAACGGGTGTGGAAGACATGGGACAGTGGGACCCGTGAACCTGCTTTGGCCCCTCAACTCCAGAACCCTCTGAGCCATCCAGTTGATGCCTGCTCATGGCAGCCCAGTAGGACAGGGGAAAGTGCCCTTGTGAGTTTGTCCCAGACCATAACTCTGTACAGGAGTGGAAAGCCTTGACTTCCTCCTGAAGAGCCGCTGTTGGATTAAATTGCCGGCCTTTTGGTTAGCACCCCAAGTTGTAACCATCCCACTCTCAGGGCCCCTGGATCCCCATGGATTTGTAGGAGGACCACGTAGGTACTTTCCTCTGTCATAACCTGCAAACCCAGTTCACAGAGGCCCTATAGGGTAGTCTAGAAGAGCCCCATGGGGTTTTCAAGGCTGTAAGTCTTTCCAGAGGCACACTGCCACATCTTGTTAGCAAGTGGGTTTGAACACCTACGTTTTGGTTGGCAGCAGAGTGCTTTAAGCACCGTGCAACCAGGGCTGCTTCGTTACCTTCAACTCCATGGTTTTGTTTAATACAAACATCAACTCACCATTTTGGCTATTTGGCTTGATTCTTACCTGTGGAATTAGTGTTTTAGCACTGTGACACCTTAATTCTCTGACATCACTGCAGTTTTAGTGTGTAGTAGAATCTCTTGGGTACCTTGTTCAGAAGCAGGTTACTGAACTCAAGCCCAGGGTATCCGATTCAATAGGGCTAGCATAGGACCTGGGAATTTGCATTTCGGAACCAGTACTCTAGGGGATGCTGATGCCATTGATGTGGGACTACACTAGGGAACTACTGTTAAAACAAGGGAAAAGATGAGACCCCCGTCGGCTAGCGCTTTACCCACCAGGCAGTATGCTGGTTAGACTGGCCTTTTATATTAGGAACTGATTTTACCCAGTTCCTTTGTCACTGGGGGAGCATTGATTCAACTGACCTGCAAGGATCAGCCTACACGGCCAAGGCCATTTTCCACCAGAACATTGATGCAGCTGTGCAGATTGTGTTTGGATTACTTGAATATTCAGAAGCTATAAACTGGATCTGGGTTGGACCTGTTTCTTTTCTGTTCAGAGTTGGAGAATGAATCAGAGTTCTTTGAAATGGAACATCCTATAGTGAAATTATTTTGTCTAGAAGAAAATAGGTGAATTCAGTGATATGTGTAGATTTCTAAAATTTCTTTTCTACTTTATTACTTTAATGTTAGCCCCAGAAACCCCCAGTCTGCTCTGTCTCAGAGGGCAGCTAGGGATCAGCATGAGGCCAGGGATCACTTTTCTATCTTCTGCTTCCCCCTGTGCCTTCCCCAAGTAGAAGGTTCTAATTTAAATCCGTAAAATTGTTCCCACTGCAGGAGAAGAAGGAACTACTTTAAACTTCATTATATTCCTGAATGCTGCTTCATTTCACTGTTCTGTATCAGCCCAAATACATTTTTACATTGGAAGTTGAATGGGCCAATTCAGGTAGAGAAAGATGTTGGAAATATTTTTCCTTTTATATTTCTTCCAATGAGAAAGCTTTTCAAATTTGGAAGGAATGTTAATAGCTAAAGGCTTTTTCTTCTTAAGATTTTGAGCCATTACAGTGTATAAAGATTTTTTCTCTTTATTTTCTTCTCTTTTTTTGCAGAGAATAGGCTAGTATTGATATTGGCACTGCTTTCAAAGAAATGTTTTCTGTGTTCAATTACTTCTAACCCCAAACTCTAATTAATTTAAACGTAGTGTTGTTGAATTGGCTTTCACATAAATAGTCGTGCTACCCAGTATTCTGTTAGCTCAGGTTTGTTCATTTAAATACAGCATAATAGCTTTTCATTGATTTTTAAGTACCTGTTTTTTTTTAATATATGCAAAAGAAATTACGTTTTCATGTAAAACCATGAAAGAGTTGACTTTAGCAAAAGTAAGCTCATCCTGTTGTTACTGCCTACCTTGAAAGCTTTATCCTTTCTATTTCTCAAAAAAGAAATAAATGATCATGTCTTATATTAATCTGGGTAGACTAGAGAAACAAATTCATAGACCTCATAGGTATATAAGAAAGAGCTTTATATACAAGAGCAATTGAATATTGAGAAAACATCCCACCCCGGTCCAGATCAAACCCGTAAGTCCAATATTAGCCCAAATGTCCAATACCAATCTATAAATTCCTCTGCAGACTCACAAAAACAAATGCAATGACACCGAATGCAGGAAGATCATAGGCCAGTGGGTGGAAAGTCTTGTAGATCCAGTGGCAGTAGAGGCATCTCATAGCTGGCTGAGGTTTCCATGTGGCTCCTTCAGCTCTAGGGCTCTAGTGTAGCTCTATGTCTCTTGTCAGCAAGCCTGTTTCCCAGGGAGTGAGCCTGTGCTTCACTTCCAGCGAGCTATAATCTCCTTAGCAACTGTAAATGAGGTCATCAAACTGCGAGCTTATTGACAGGCTAAACTTCACTCAAGTCTCAAGTTGACGACATTGTGTAACTACCACATGTCTGCATAGATTTGGCATGAGGTCAAAGAATGCCTGAGGGCAGCTCTCAACTCAGCTATATCGGGACAGCTCTGGTCTGGTTTTTGCCCAGGCTTTTAGGTCTTCGCTATTGGCGTCGCTTATGTAGGGCCCCGGCTGCAGTTCAGAGAGGAGGCTTCCCTCTTGCATTGGGGAACTTTCATCCCAGACGTGCAATTTGAACCTCCCTCAAACATTTTCAGATCTGTGTGCATCTGGCAATTCCAACAAAGACCCCTCCGCAGTCCCCCTCAAATCTGTGAGCACGTTGGAACCTCTTGGGAAACTTCAAAAAAATTATTAAAGCCTGTTTCTCACCCTTAGAGTATGGGATTGAATCAATTTGGAGTATTCTCTGAGAACTGGAATCCAAACAAAAAGCCCTAGTTGATCCTAAGCCCATTGGGCTAACATTTTAGAACCTGTCCTCCGCTTTACCTTCCTTTCTAAGTCTTGACCCATTCGAAGTAGAAATGGCCACATGTTTCTTTTTGTACATGCTGCTTTCTGTTAATAGTTGACTATTAATTACAGAACCTGTGGCTGCTTAAATTCTTTTTAAAATGAATTCTGTGTTCAGTTGCTGATGCCTGCCATGAAAGGGGTGAGCGCATCATACTCTAGAGAACAATAGGGAATATTTCAGGTCACCCTAAAAACTTTTCAGAAGAAATTCAGCTTTATGTAGTCCCTGTATGGAGCAGAAAGAATAAGGTAAACTTTTTGAGCCTTGATACGAATATCATTGAAGAATGCATCAGCTATAGGAACAAAATGGACATAAAGAGGGAAGGAATATGTAAATTATGGACAATTTAATATTGTGTGGACAAGAGTAAAGTTTCCTTTTAACATATTCTGGTTTCTTTTCCTTGGAATATGCTTTACTTGATCAGTATCGACTTCCAAGATCCAGTTTGAATGGCACTTCCTTGAAATACCCCTAGTAGGCTGAATGAAGTGACTTCCGCTGTTCATGTACACTTAGCTCCTGCCTTGTGTACTTTTATGAACATGACTTTGGGGGTCATGCATCTGATTCTTGTGCCTTTGAATCTCTTGTGCGTACCACAGCTTCTGATATGTGAAAACAGTAAATATTTTTGAAATAAAACATACTCTATAGAACAATAGGGGAATTTCAGATTACCCCAAAAATCATTTTTAGAAAAAATGCAACTTTATGTGGGAAAATGGCATCCTCAAGTGAGATTAATGTCACAGAAAGAAAAACGTCTCTTAACAGTTAAAAAAAAATTGACTTTATCACCTATCCTCGCTAGATACATTTAGTCATGGCTAGTGATCATAACTTTACTAGAAAAGGGGAGGATTCTCAGGTTTGCGTTTATGTGGCCCAGAGAACTTGTGTTAGTCTGGGTTGACTATAGAAATTCAGAGACACTCATATGTATAAGAAGGAGCTTTATATCCAAGAGTAATTGTATATCAGGAAACCAGCCCAGCCCAGTCCAACCCAAGTCCAGACATCCAATCTTAGTCCCTAAGTCCCTCAGACTCACACCGCTACATGCAATAATGCAGAAGGCAGGAAGCTCACAGGCTGGTGGCTGTTGCAAAGCCGTGTGGATCCAGTGGCAGTGGGGACATTGCAGGGATCTGGCCGCTCTCAGCAACGTCAAGGCAGAGAGGCTGGACTGCAGAGAGCTGTCTGTCTCAGTTGCACCTCCAAATAAGTCATCGGTCTGTGACCTGCTTGAGAGGCTAACCTCCATTGCTAGACTCGCAAGTTGGCATGAAATAGTGTAACGACCACAGAACAGGACACTAATGGCCAGGAGGCTGGGGCTTTGGATTGGTAATCCCACCCGAATTCTAGGCTCAAATCTGGGAGGAAGGGCTTAGAATGGGGGAGATGCCGCTATTAGATGGCAAGGCTAGACAGAATCAGCGACAGCAGTCATACCATTAATGTTGCCATCATGGAAGCAACTGCATTGGAATCTTGGATCCAAACTGTAAAACTGTGAAATGGATTGTGTTTCTTAATTCTCAGTTTTCTTCTTCTTCAAAGGATATGCTCCGTAGGGTGGTAATTAGAAATGAGAGCGAGATTTACCTACCAGCACAATGGGAAATTTTAACATCTCTCTCAGAAGTTGATATAATAAGCAGACAAAAATAAGAAACTAAGGCCATATGTCATTAGTTCTCAACCTTCCTAATGCCACAACCCTTTAATACAGTTGATGTTGTGACCCCAACCATAAAATTATTTTCATAAGTAATTTTGCTACTGTTATGAATCGGGTGACCCCTGTGAAAGGGCCATTTGACCCCCAAAGGGGTCGCGAGCCACAGGTTGAGAACCGCTGCTATATGTGATTTGAATAATAATCAAAAAGCAAT